ACAATCATAATAGTGTACAAACTTACAATTCCAATTAATTATAGTCGAATTTCGACTAGTGCGGGACCTCTAGTATTTATAATTATACCCTCGTACAAACACAGCAACGGGTCAATATACAACACAGTTTGTACATCGTAAAATTTAAAATTAATACGTAATGCTATGCGAACACACTATGCTAATATAATTGCAGCAAGCGAATTCTTTAAGCTTCGAAATACGTACGCAACTGCTAAAATTAATGTAAACGACATTTGGGAATTACGAAAAAAAAAAGAAGTAAGCTAATTAACCGCGAAAGGGTTTAAATGCCTAATTAAGTGTTCGTGCGATTTAGCAACGATGCCCCAATAATCTCATCTCGGAACAATCGTTTCTCATGCTACACATATCGGTGCTAGTTATATAACACGCAACGTAATCAGGAATTTAGATTGGGAGGCGTGGGCCCCAGCCATTTCCTTTTTGAGAAATTTCTTTTTATTATTTAAATGGGTGGACGAGCTCACAGCCCATCTGGTATTAAGTGGTTACTGAAGCCCATATACGTCTACAACGTAAATGCCGCCACTCACCTTGAGGCAAGAGTTCTAAGGCCTCAGTTCAGTTCAGTAACACTACGACGGCTACCCCACCCTTCAAACGGCCTAAACTTTAAGATATCCGCTTTAAGGCTTAAAGTTATAAAATCGAAACTGGAAAATTACAATTATGTATTTGATTACATTTTTGGCCTTAACCAAAAAACAAGAATTTTAGTTTAAGCCGCTTCAATTCTAAAGATGCAATATGGACACACAAGTCCACAGTGTATCTATTGAGGTTCTATTGACAGATGAGTAATGAGACAAATCCAAGCCCCAATTTTACGGAAATTACCGATACTCTATTAATCTGGTAGACTTGAAAGTTTTGCTACATAAATAGTCAGAATGACAGTATGTCTTAAAGACTCAAAATACGCATCGTTACCAGTACACAGTTCGGCGTTCCCATAATACCATTAAGCATATCAGGATTATTTCATTCAGTTCTTAAGTAACGTGTTCACCAGATATTGTAACCTCTTTCGCTAAGGACCTGAGTCCTACCCTGTAGTGTGTGAGCTCGCGAGATGCGTGTCTTCACCGCTTCGATGCCACAATGATAAGGGATCGGTCGTGTGAAACGATATCATCGCAGCTAAACTGTTCAAAGTCAGACGGCGACGAGAGAAAGTCGAACGATACGAATCGAAAATAAAATTTACGGTAGACAATGAACTAAATCACATAACACACTCATTGTAATTAGTTTGAAATGTTATAGTTATAATGATAATTGTCGTTGTTATGTAAGTGTGTATCTATAATATTTAGATGCGAAAGTATTTTGTTTGTTATAATATCCTTATTATTATTATATCTTTAAACGAGCAAATCTTGTATATAAATATATATATATATAATCTGAATCTCGGAAACGGCTCCAACGATTTTCATAAAATTTAGTACACAGGGGATTTCGTAGGCGATAAATCGATCTAGCTACGATTTATTTTCAGAAAATGTTTGTTTTATTCGTGTTTTCAATAATCAACTTTATCGAAAATACTGATTTTTCGTCCCTTCCCATCTAAGCAATAACAAAACAAAGATGAAGACAAAAAAAACTGGGAATGATCGACTTAGATAGAGCAGATTCCGAACTGTATGACTAATTACTGTCTGCCTAAACAGGACGTAGATTTTGTCGATATTCCAATAAAATTCCAATTTCCTATTTAAACAGGGGCGATAGCTCTGATTCCTGTAACCCCCGGGAACCGGTTAACATCAAAAGGGCCAATATACTGGGTGCCAGGAGACCGCTCCCGAAAACGAAAACAGACGAAAACGGACGACTAATTTACAAATCAAATCAAATCAAACTTTATTTTTGCTAAAACACGGTTTACAAAGCTGTTGATAGTTATTTTATAGAACAGCGTGTCTCTACCAGGCCGGTGTTTTTTTTATTATTTTTTTATTGCTTAGATGGATGGACGAGCTCACTGCCCACCTGGTGTTAAGTGGTTACTGGAGCTCATAGACATCCATAACGTAAATGCGCCACCCGCCTTGAGATATAAGTTCTAAGGTCTCAAGTAAGTTACAACGGCTGCCCCACCCTTCAAACCGAAACTTTCATGTTCCTCCATGCTCTACCTTACGCACTACTTCAAACTTTTTTTTTATTGCCCTTTTATGCAGACGAGCATACGGCCCACCTGATGGTGAGTGGTTACCGTCGCCCATAGACTTCAGCAATCCCAGGGGCAGAGCCAAGCCGCTGCCTACCGTTGAGTACTCTCCACAAGCCTCATTTGAATAAGAATATGTCATAGCGAGGTTTGCTAAAAGGTTTGAAAATAGATTTCACTCCAAGGCAGTGGCTCATCTGTGTCTATAGATTACAAAAACACTGTACAAAGACAAAACGTTCGCTAAAAAGCTATTAAATTACTATATTATTAACTAGCTTTTGCCCGCGACTTTGTCCGCGTGGAATAGTTACTTTGGCATATTGCTAAATTTTACCCGCCTGTTCATTTACGTAGAAAGTGAAAATATTTTTGAATAATTGAATGTTAAGGATTTATTTTAATATATATTAAATCACGATATATATTAAATCACGCTTTTTAACCGACTTGCATTGGTCTTAGCGTGATGTTATATAGCCTATAGCCTTCCTCGATAAATGGGCTATCTAACACTGAAATCATTTTTCAAATTGGAGCAGTAGTTCCTGAGATTAGTGCGTTCAAGCAAACAAACTCTGCAGCTTTATAATATTAGTATAGATAATAACTTTTTTGTTTTTATGGCCTAGATATGTGGACGAGCTCACAGCCCACCTGGTGCTAAGTGGTTACTGGAACCCATAGACATCTACAACGTAAATGCGCCACACACCTTGAGATATAAGTTCTAAGGTCTCAGTATAGTTACAACGGCTGCCCCACCCTTCAAACCGAAACGCATTACTGCTTCACGGCAGAAATAGGCAGGGTGGTGGTACCCATCCGCGCGGACTCACAAGAGGTTCTACCACCAGTCATTACGCAAATTAAAATTTTGCGGGTTTCATTTTTATTACACGATGTTATGCCTTCACCGTGGAAATCAATCGTGAACATTTGTTGAGTACGTCTTTCATTAGAAAAATTGGTACCCGCCTGAGATTCGAACATCGGTGCATCGCTCAACACGAATGCACCGGACGTCTTATCTGTTAGGCCACGACGACTTCAAAATGCGTGCATATATTAAAATTATTTACATTACATTACACTTTTGATGATGGAGCTATGTAGACAAATATTGACCATCAGGTGGGCCGTATGCTCATCTGCCTAAACGGGCAATAAAAAAAAATACATCATAAAAATAGTAAAAAATTACTTTATCAACTATCATATACGGAATGAAAAACATAATTATTCCATTATAGAATGACCCTATGTAATTATTAACACGAATGTTGACAAGACAATGAGAGAATACCTTGACACTAAGCGTGATAACCAGTGATTAGCTGCGTGATTTACTGCAAACACTGCTGCAATATAGCTACTGGGTGTTAGACCGCTTCCAAAAACGAAGACAGACGATAGTACTAATGACACCTTTGGGATGTAAAATGGGATGGAAAAAAAATCGATCCTGATTTAAAAAAAACATATTTTTAAAATGTTTTACTAGTATTATTTACGCTCCATCCTGTTAGTACAGCTGAATAAAACGATAGTTTCATAAAAAATACATTACTTTACTGAAAAAAAAACCAGCAATGTAACACAAAATCAAAAACAGTTGATGCTCGGATCAACGCACGGGCGTGGCGCAGATTCGTGCAATCGCTCATATACCTATTTTTTATATATAAAAATGAATTGCTGTTCGTTAGTCTCACTAAAACTCGAGAACGGATGGGCCGACTTGGCTAATTTTGGTCTTAAATTATTTGTGGAAGTCCAGAGAAGGTTTAAAAGGTAGATAAAATTAAAGGTGTCCGGAATTAAATAAAAATAGCAATTTTGTTTTTCCTTTGATGTGTCCCGTCGGACGGATTCCTTTTGCTTGTTTTAAGTTTATTTTATACAAAATTTTAGGTCTTTTGTTTATCGATTGAGGCACTATGAAGTCTGCCGGGTCAGCTAGTGGTAAATAAATATCTTAAATGTGTACTAAATTAGTTTTAGCGTCCAAATGTACTAGTTCAAAATGACCTAGATGCAAATACTCGCTTAAAATGGAAAGGTCATGCTCTCACGCGTGTGCCATCCGCATGCGAGATTAATTGAGTTTTGGAAGCCTACCGGGCGCGGAACGATCACGAGAGCTCACATACACCACGACCGAGGGACGAGGTTACAAATAATCATCTTTCAAAAATAATGAAGTAAATGGACATACTATGTATATATGTTAATTATTAATTAAAAATTCTTTTTCGGCTTTAGCTCCAATTTACTTTTTTAATTTAATTATTACTCAACTTTCGAATATTTTCCAGTCTTCGTGGTCACAAACGACTAATGTTTGGTCAACTATTGAATATCGTGCGATGTACTGTCTATTTTTGCATAAAAAAATGTTTCTTAACTTTACTTTTGCACCCATAGAGACAGCACACTGAGTTTCTCGCTGGATCTTCTCAGTGAAATAGCCACTCAAGGCTATCAGCATAGATAGGAAAATATGCTTTTGCTTACAAACAGAACATACGACTAGGATCTCGAGGTCTAGCTGTTTATTTGACTTGTAGGTTCATTTTCACGGTTAGAGTGTTTGATAAACCATAATTTCTATTAAACTTAAGGCGTTTTTATTGTTACGATAGGCTCGCGCACCATACGTGTACATATTTTTTTTTCTTTAGCAAATATTTGGATTTTGTCAAATCTTTATTTAAGTATAATAATAAATAAAATAAAATAATATGTTATAATGACTAATGTTATAGTGACTCACCGATTATTCTTCTTGCCTGCTTTGACCACACGAATCAGATTTTTTTTACACTTTACACCTGAAAAAAATAAAACAAAAAAAATTATTGGCATATTATTATCAAAAAAACACTTATCTCGTTATTAAGTGTCTTTGATATAAAGCTAAATAAAAATATTTCTTTTTCTAAAAAAAAAATATTATTTATCCGTTGCTGATTTTTTACATTATTTTTTTTATTGCTTATACGGGTGGACGAGTTCACAGGTCACCTGGTGTTAGGTGGTTACTGGAGCTCATAGACATCTACAACGTAAATGCGCCACCCTGTAGATGTCTATGGACTCCAGTATCCACTTAACACTTGCGGTAAGCAGCGGCTTGGTTCTGCCCCTGGCATTGCTGAAGTCCATGGGCGACGGTAACCACTCACCATCAGGTGGGTCGTAGGCTCGTCTGCCTACAAGGGCAATAAAAAAAAAAAACACCACGTGGGCTGTGAGCTCGTCCAGCCATCTAAGCGATAAAAAATATGTTATGTAATTTTTTCCAACTTTTAAACTTTAAAGACGGTAATTAGTGCACTATTAAATTACCGTCACTAACTAACATATTTATGTGTAACTTTGACCCCCAATTTTTTATGCTTAATACGGCCCAGAAACTAGCGCGGTGTCACTGCGTCTTTTCATTTTATTACCAGATCACTAAAGGTCATCGCAAAGGTTCATCCTCGTGTTGCAACTAACTTAGCTCGCACTCACAAACTAGATCTTCTTGGGACCTTCACAAATGTATCATCACGACGCGTATAATCATTTGGGGTGACAGAGGTAATCAATACGTTGTGAAAGTTTTTGTTAAATTTGATTCGTAAGTACGTATTTCATTAGAAAAATTGGTATCTGCCTGCGGGATTCGAGCACCGATGCATCGCTCGACACTAGTATAACCGACGTCGCATCTTTTAGGCCACGACTACGTCTAATGTCAATGTTAATAAGGAACGTTGTTGTACAAATTCAGCACTATGTCTTGTTTTGTCGCGCGCACATAACTTATGTTGCAAGCCAGACTTTGTTTCTTTTTACTTGTGATTTTGGAACGAAGTTTCTTACGGCAGGCTTGGAGGATATAGGGATTTTGCTGCGCGACCGAACTGAAAAAAATGTGATAGTAAAAACCGTAAGAAAAAGTCCGTGGAATAAGGCCTTGTTTTCCGCACAGCGATATTTCACCGCGCGATTTTTTTCTCGTAATTCTTTTTTTTTTTTTTATATGGAACTTCGTTCCTATCCGGTGTCCCACGACACCACACATCTTTTTTATGCCTTTTACGAACTTTTAAACGACATTGAAACGAATTAAGAAAATGGCCGCTAAAATAACTAACTATTCACTATAACAAATCCACATCTCATCTAAATAGAACTGTCCATACAAAATCAATTTACGCAGTAATTGATGGATCGTTAACTAAAATTGTAATCGGATTAATAAATGACAATTACCTGTCTAATGCTATTTACATTAGCGAGAGAATCCCCTTTATAATTACACAGAACATTCAGGCGAACATCGGGGGAGCATTCCGGTATGATCGAATTACGAACAAACATATTTAGTTCGGAGGTTTTCAAAGTTTGTAAGCCCTCTAGGGGCGTTTCAGACATCGCCGTAGAGCACGATCGTGAATGAGAACTGTTTGTTGTATGTATTTTCTTTAGTACCTAATACTAAGATTTTAAACTCAATGAAAAGATAAATCAATGCTAAACAGAGACAAACTTACATTTTGCACGTGAGCGTATGAGAAAAAACTAAAGATATGTAACGCCCGTCGAGACATTATATTAGTAAAGTGTAAAATTTTATATCATGTTATTAGTGATCCGACCGAGAGGGCTGGTGGTCGTAGCGCCGACGATCGCTGGCCCGGCGTCCCGAGGGGGAGGGTGATGGGAGAGATGTGCTCCGCACTAAACGCTTCACTCTCCTCCCCTTGCCTTTTCATGAGTTCTGTCTNCACGGTCTTCTTTAAGCGTCCACTCCATATTTAAAAATGAGTAAAATTCTAAAAGTATACATTTTTATTTTCATGAACAATTCGAAATTCGAATTCAATAAACTTTTTTGTGGCCAGCATTCTAAAAGAAAAGTTTTTACTGTGTGACAATACTTATGACCTGACTAGTTATAGCCGACGTCTCATCTTTTAGGCCACGACTGCGTCTAATGTTAATGTTAATAAGGAACATTGTTGTACAAATTCAGCACTATGTCTTGTTTTGTCGTGCGCACATAACATATGTTGCAAGCCAGATTTTGTTTCTTTTTACTTGTGTTTTTGGAACGAAGTTCCTTACGGCAGGCTTGAAGGAGATAGAATTTGCTGCGCGACCGAACTGAAAAAAATGTGATAGTAAAAACCGTAAGAAAAAGTCCGTGGAATAAGGCCTTGTTTTCCGCACAGCGATATTTCATCGCGCGATTTTTTTCTCGTAGGTAATTCTTTTATTTTTTTCTTTTTATATGGAACTTCGTTCCTATCCGGTGTCCAACGACACCACACATCTTTTCTTTTAAATAAAATAAAATAATGTTTTTTTTTTTTCAATTTTTTTTTACCGATTTGGAACTATTTCAAGGCTTCAAACCTACTCTGGTACATGCTAAATTAGACCCTCCATGCGTAGCTCACTGAAACTATTGTATTACTGGTAAGCTTCTGTTTTCACCAGAGTTTTTCTATTCGTCTAAATACGCCGCTACAGACATAAGGCCCAAATTGGCTTGTTATTGCATTGCATTTTACATAACACAATATTATAGTTTTCGTCACAAAACGTCGTAAATATAAAACCGACAATGGAGTAGCGGTTTTGGTATTGGTTAGTTGGAACTCCGAGTTACTGCTTGTAGTATTGAGGTCGAATTACCTTTCGCACATTATTAAAACGCTATTTTATTTAATTTTTTTAAATTTAACCTGAATTGCATGAGGCCTGATTGAAAACAAAAAAGAATTTCTCAATGGACACGTGATCATGTCACACGTGCTGAATGTCAAAATATGATAAACTAGCGACCCGCTCTCGCTTCGCTTCGGAAACATTAAATTTTATTATTAATAGGCAGCTGAATCTCGCGACGTTACCCGCGGTTGTTGTCGTACCGCAAGTGAAGCTGCGGGACGAAGCTAGTGTAAAAAAAAGTAACCTAAGTTACTCCTTATATCATCAGCTACCTATCAGTGAAAGTCTCGTCGAAATCGGTCCAGCTGTTCCAGAGATTATCCGGGACAAACAGACCGACAGACAGAGAGACAAAAATTGTAAAAAAATGTTATTTTGGTGTATGGACCGTACATATATTCATATGCATGTAGTAAAAAGCGGTTATTTCAATATTACAAACAGACACTCCAATTTTATTTATATGTATAGATAGTGCGTTTCAAATAAGAATGTGCACGTCAATGACCTTGAGACGTATGGACAGCAACAAAAAAAAATCTTTTTTTATTGAATTTTTTGCCTAATACCTAATAAATAACCTACAACTAAAAATATCCAATTCAGTAGGATATACAACTGAAGTACCTAGTAATTTCTAAGGTACTAATAACCGCTTAACACTAGATGGCTAGTGAGATTTATATATACTTTACCACATATCTTTTTTTATTGCTTAGATGGATGGCCGAGCTCACAGCCCACCTGGTGTTACTGGAGCACATAGACATCTACAACGTAAATGCGCCCACTCACCTTGAGATATAAGTTCTAAGGTCTCAGTGTAGTTACAACGGCTGCCCCACCCTTCAAACCGAAACGCATTACTGCTTCACGGCAGAAATAGGCAGGGTGGTGGTACCCGCGCGGACTCACAAGAGGTCCTACCACCAGTAAAAACGCATCAAAGAATATATGCTAACTTCCAATGAGTTTTAAGTTATTGACATAAGGAAATAGCAAACAAATTTATATAAACACAGAAATGCATGAAGCATTAACAAAGTTAGCACAATATTTTAATTCAAATACGGTTCTTAATCGGTTCGGCGAAATCATCGCGTGCAGTCACGCGACGCATCTATGTACGCGCGTATCTCAGAACCAAAAGCTTGTATGTCACGAATCCGAGCGAGCGAATTTCTAATTTATCTTATTAGTCTTTGAAAACGCTTTCTGCTGTCGAACTGAATATGTTAAATATGACTTTTTGGCTCCGATACGAGACCTGTAATGACAAACGAAAGTGAAGATTCTAATAATTCAGTAATAATGACGATTCGCGCATGAAAGTTTAATTGCTTTAACCTTCAGAGACTTGTTTGGGTAAAAGTGTTTTGTAAAAGTTTTGTTATTTTTCTCGACTGCTCACGTCAGAACATTGACCTTGCAACGAGGTTGTTGATTCCAAGCGAAAAAAATCTCTTGTGTATGTGTGAAATAATAATATTTACAAATGCAGATGTTCAAATAAATTTTTAATACGCTTTTATTAGCTTCAGACGTATGTATGTTTGTAAACAGAATTTTTGAACATGATTTTGACCCCCTTCAAAACGTCGTATTAGCTCGGAATTTGGTATACTTATTAAGGACCGATGACAATTCAATATTAAAAAAAAAGAATTGAAAAAATTGAAATTCAACTAAAAAATGAAAAATAATAGTTTGAAAAAACTAAACAAAATACGCTTTTATAGAAAATTCCACTAAAAATAGAAAAGAAATCTTAATAAATTTGAATTAAAAATAGTGTAAGAAAAAATGATTTTATTGTAAAAAGCGTGGGGTGCTTTTCAGGATATTATAAAATAACGCTTTTACTCATTTCATATTCATAAAATATTTATAACTACTGATACCATGCAACCTACGCTTTTTTTACAATAAAATCATTTTTTCTTACACAATTTTTTTTTTCTGGAAGAGCATGGAGGGAAATTAACTTCCCTAGGACTTCCTAGAATAGGGTAGTACCTACGAGTATGTGATGACCCATTCATTAGCCCGCATTTACGTTGAGTGGACTTCAAAGAGCCGCTTAATTCCAAAATAATTAAAGCCA